GCTCGGCCTCCTAGGCCCTCGTGTTTGGCCCCTCGGCCCCCTAGGCCCCTCTGCCCCAGTTCAGAGCCCAGCGCCCGGCCCCGTACCTGCCCAGCGCCCGGCCCCGTACCTAGCCCGCGCCCGGCCCCGTACCTAGCCCGCGCCCGGCCCCTTGTTTGGCCCCTCGGCCCCGCCCCTCGGCCCCTCGGCCCCTAGCCTCGGCCCCTAGGCTCGGCCTCCTCGGCCCTCCTGTTTGGCCCCTTTGCCCCCTAGGCCCCTCGGCCCCTCAACCCTCTTGTTTGGCCCCTTGGCCCCCCCTAGGCCTCTCGGCCCCCCCCTAGGCCCCTTGGCCCCTCGGCCCTCGTGTTTGGCCCCTCGGCCCCCTAGGCCTCTCGGCCACCTAGGCCCCTCGGCCCTCTTGTTTGGCCCCTCGGCCCCCTAGGGGGGCTCCCCGACAGAAAAATGTTACGCGAGTCAACTGTCGGAGGTTAACCGAAGGTCAAAGGTCCCCGACCTTTGACCTGACGAAATGTACAGTGCGACAGCAAGGACACATAACTGACTCATTACAGAGCAGTTACCCGAGTCGGCACTGTATCGAACCGCAACAGCCAAAACAGTTAAAATAGAACTCTTTATATTCCCTGTAAATCATATAAAAGACCTGTATCTCTTTGATATTAACCAACTTATCTTGTTCTCACAAATTAGTACAAGGTGGTTCACGTCAACTCTTCATTAAAGACTTCCGTTGTTACAACTCTACATCAACACCCGATCTTGTCAAACATCCATCTTATAGCCTGTCTAGGCTGTAGTGGGGTAGACACTATGGGGTACAGTTTGTTAGGGTTTCATATTTGTACCCAACTCATTCCTTAGTCAATCATTCATTCCTATTATTTTCACATGGTATAGAGCGGGTTCCCTAGTGGAACTGTTCCTTCCTATGGGCCCACCTTAAAATTATTTTTTTTCCTGCCCGAAGCGCGCTTTGCGCCCTGCCCTAGACTTTCGCGGCCCCTTAGCGGCCCTTTACGGCCCCTTACGGCCCCTTACGGCCCCTTACGGCCCCTTACGCGGCCCCTTACGGCCCCTTACACGGCCCCTTACGGCCCCCCTACGCGGCCCCCTACGCGGCCCCTTACGCGGCCCCTTACGCGGCCCCTTACGGCCCCTTACGCGGCCCCTTACGCCCCCCCCACTACGCGGCCCCTTACGCGGCCCCCCTGCGCGCCCCCCCCCTACGCGGCCCCTTACGCGGCCCCCTACGCGGCCCCCCCTACGCGGCCTCCTACGCGGCCCCGTCGCGGCCCCGTCGCGGCCCCGCCCCGGCCCCGCCCCGGCCCCGACCCTGTCCCGGCCCCGTCGCGGCCTCGTCGCGGCCCCGCCCCGGCCCCGACCCTGTCCCGGCCCCGTCGCGGCCTCGTCTCGGGCCTGCCCCAGCCCCGACCCTGTCCCGGCCCTGCTCTGGCCCCGTCGCGGCCCTGTCCCGGACCTGCCCCGGCCCCGACCCTGTCCTGGCCCTTCCCCGACCTCATCGCGGCCCCGTCCCGGACCTGCCCCGGCCCCGACCCTGTCCCGGCCCTGCCCCGGCCCCGTAGCGGCCCCGACCCTATCCCGGCCCCGCTTGCGGCTCTTGGGTTTGCTCCTTCCACTGCTAACCCGTCGCTGTTTCTTCGCACTGACACTTTGCTGCCGTCGTTCTACATCCTCGTGTACGTCGACGACTTGGTGTTTGCTACGGCTGACACTACTGGACTCGCCCACGTGAAGTCCGAGCTGCAGAAGAGACACACGTGCACAGACCTGGGTGAAGTGCGCAACTATCTTGGCTTGCAGATCACTCGGGACAGAGCACGGCGCACCATTACCCTGACTCAGTCACACATGGTGCACCAGGTCCTTCAGCGCTTCGACTTCACGTACTCCTCGCCTCAGGCCACTCCTCTGTCTACTCGCCACTCGCTCTCAGCTCTGCCTTCGGATGAGTCCGTAGAGCCGAGTGGCCCGTACCCAGAGCTTGTTGGCTGTCTCATGTACCTGATGACCTGCACTCGACCTGACCTGGCATACCCTCTTAGCATCTTGGCACGCTATGTTGCTCCTGGGAGACACCGACCAGAGCATATGGCTGCAGCGAAGAGGCTGTTGCGCTACTTGTGCAGTACGTCGGGCATGGGGCTAGTGCTTGGAGGGCGGAGTCCGGTGGTCCTCACTGGTCACGCAGACGCGTCTTGGGTTGACGACCTGGCTACACAGCGGTCGTCACAGGGTTACACCTTCAGCCTTGGTTCCGGCTCTGTTTCGTGGCGGTCTACTCGCTCATCTTCTGTTCTCAGCTCCAGCTGTGAGGCTGAGATCTACGCAGGGGCCATGGCTGCACAGGAGTTACGCTGGCTCACCTACCTGCTGACTGACCTCGGTGAGCCGCCTCGTTCTCCTCCAGTTCTGTACGTAGACAACAAGGCCATGCTGGCCTTGTATCGGGAGCACAGACTGGAGCACAGAACAAAGCACATTGCTCTTCGCTACTTCCTTACTCGTGAGCTGCAGCACCGTGGTCAGCTGCGTCTTGCTTACGTGGCCTCCCAGGCCAACACTGCTGATATCTTCACCAAGGCACTTCAGCCTTGTGATCATCAGCGCTTCTGTACTATGCTAGGTCTTGTGCCTACTTTGCCTCACTTGCTTACCTCCTGACTTTACTTGTACTGTGATCTATATATACCTGCCCTTGCTTGTTTACCTTTTATATATAATTCTGCATGTGAACTGGCCTTGTGGCCTTTGAACCTGTGCTCGGAATGTGTGGTGACGTTGTGATCCACCCTGAGCTTGCTTTGCTTTGCTTTGCTTGACTGGTCTTGTGACCCTCTTGTTCTCCCCCACTTTGCCTATGGGGGTGTGTCAAACATCCATCTTATAGCCTGTCTAGGCTGTAGTGGGGTAGACACTATGGGGTACAGTTTGTTAGGGTTTCATATTTGTACCCAACTCATTCCTTAGTCAATCATTCATTCCTATTATTTTCACAGATCTTAGTCCTGAAAGGTTCCTAAGGGCTTTTCTCAGCCCAACAAGGACAAGTAGGATGAGGTAGTGCAATTCTCTCGAAATGGCCAATGTTGCAGTTCATGTTTGTATTCATGCTTGTAAGATTGCTTATTTATAACATTGGCTGCTTACTCTAGGTTGTAATTCCGACAAACTGAAATGGCTAAGTTACAATTGCCTGTGGTTTGGTTCATAGCTACATATTTTGTGGTTCATTTTGAATGAAACCTTGATTTCCTGCACCTCCATGAACTCCTCTACAAAGAGTGGTGTTTTTGTATTTTTGCCAGAAATATACAATTTTGTATCTTTTGCCTCAACTAAGGTTGCTCCTAGCACATGCGGTGTCATTCTCTGGACATTAGACAGATGTTGTTTTTTGTTAACCTGTTTTTTTATGTTTGCTAGTGTAAGGACACTATATCCAGTCCCCGCAAAACATTTTAAGCTCAGGGCACCAATCTTGGATGGGTTTTTTTGCAAGATATTAAGTGCAGAATTGCCAAGAATCAGGTTTCTACTCAACTGACCAACCTCTACTTGGGCTAATGACCTGATATTGATCGGGGAATATCATCACACTAATTTCTGATCCTCCTATCAAATTCAGCTCCTTTCGTCAAGGTTTGCTATGGTTTTCATGCCTTGTTTTGCAGCAGACTGCAGATTTCTGTGCAGAATTGCATGGAATCTGGTTTCTTGTGAAATCACCTACTTCTCCTTGGGATAATGATCTGATTTTGATAGGGGACTCTCAGCACACTTATTCCAGATCCCCATATCAAATTCTGATTTTCTATGAAGGTTTGAGTGTGTTTTCATGCTTTGTTCTGCAGGGTAGTGTAGAAATCCTGTGCAGAATTGCCTGATTTTTTTGCTATGTTTTTCATGCTTTGTTGTTTTGCAGTGTTTGCCAGAATTTTTTGCAGAATTGCCTGATTTTTTTGCAGAATTGCCTGCATTGGGGTTTCTACTCAAATGACCAGCCTCTACTTAGGCAAATGAAGTGATTTTGATAGGGCACTCTCATCACACCTATTCAAGATTCCCCTAGAAAATCCAACTCATTTCTTGTACGCATTGAGGTTGCGAAGGACAAGATTTAGGATCCTAGAGTGCGCAGAGACATCAAGATTTTGGCGCTGACCGAGCATCAACGATTGAGGAATGCGAACCCTTGGGTGCCCAATAATGGAAGCGATCAACGGTCACTTTTGGAGTATCAGATGGTTTTAATCCCAATGATCACAGAGTGAGTATTGTTTTTTAAAGGGTCTCTCCATCTGTGCTTGACACCACTCACTTTTGCTAATGCCACATTTGGTGTACCGCAGAGTTCTTGTTGTTGAGTCGAGGGCCATCAGTCTGATGGTGCTCCTGAACCCTCACGATCTCTTGTCACAACCTCGCGGAGAATACCGTACGCGTTTGCTCTACTTCGACCCGATATCTCCTATACCAACCCATCGCCACAACAACCATGCCAAAGAGGTGTTTGAGTACGTATGATTTCACTTGTAGTAGTATTCTCTTATTCCTCACGCAACTAGTGTTCCAAATATGATTTCGTTGCATTGCAGCTGGCTTATTCAACAAATCGATGTTGAATACAACCGAGGTCGCAGAATCACTGGCGGACACGGTGGAGCAGTGCAGACAGCCTTGAGAGATCAGCTTGAGGCATTGATATTAGAAGAAGGAATGGTGAGTTGTTGCTCTGTTGATGTCAGGCTCGATATACATGCCACGGTAATGTCCACAAATGCTTGTGATTCCTCCACCTGTACGTGCACATGTCGCAGATCAACAAAGTTCAAGGATAGAGGCAAGTGGGCTCGGGTCTGCCAGTGACCCACCTTTTCAGCAAGCTGCTGGACAGATGGGGTGACGTTATGGCGATACAGAACGAAGAGCCCATGCTCAACCTGGGGAAGGGCAAAAATCGGTCCACAGAAATCAGAAGTATGCTGGAGTCGATTTGCCGCGCCTATTTCGACTTGCAGGAAGGAGTTCTCCTCCCTCCAGTGCCAGATATTGTGAGGACGACCCATGCTGCTCGCGAGGAAGAGGGGAGACAGGGCGTGACCGGGGACATGATGGTGGGGGCGGTGCAGAGAAGAGCAGAGGAGGTTGAGGGGCCGAGAGAGGTCCCCGCTGTAGACAGGGAGGCAACTGCAAAGGTGGGGGAAGTACCATATTCCCGGCGACCTCGAGCGGGGGGTGCACTGCAGAGTGGCACGGGTTCATGGTCAACCCGCGTCAAAGAACGAGCTAGAGGTGGAGGAAGACAGCTCAGGTTTGCAGATCGGGTAAGAAGGCCGCCGGTATGTGCAACGGAGACGCAGGCAGATTTGGAGGAAGGCAAGGAGGGTGTGGAAGATCCGCAACCAAGTGAGGCAGAACTGGCAGAGGCGAAGTAGAAGTCGGCTGAGGACAAGCAGAGGGCGAAGGCAGAAGCGAAGTGGAGGAGGGATGTAGAGGCACAAAGGCGCCTTGAAGAAGCTACAGACCCTACCGTGAGCTTTCTGGATACCTGAAAGTTCGCTTGCCAAGGGTAAAGCGGAAGGCGGAGGAAGAGGCACGGAGGGTGGATGCCAATGAGGAGGAGGCGGCTGAACAACAGCAGAGGATGCCAGATGAGGATGCTAGGAAGAAGGCGGCGATGGAGGCAAAGAAGAATGCGGCTGCAGAGGCGTTGAAGATCGCGGAGGAGGAGACAAGGAGGAAGGCAGCAATTGAGGCGCACAACATCGCGGAGGAGGAGGCGAGGAACAAGGCGGTTGTACACGCACAGAATATTGCGGAGGAGGAGGCTAGGAAGAAGGCCGATGCAGAGGCACACAAGAGAGCGGAGGAGGAGGCGAGGAGGAAGGTTGCTGCAGAAGCGCAGAAGATAGCGGAGGAGGAGGCGAGGAAGAAAGCGGCGGCAAAAGCGGTGAAGATCCTGGAGGAGTCGAGAAAGAAAGCTGCGGCAGAAGCGCAAAAGATTGTAGAGGAGGCGAGGAAGAAAGCGGTGGCAGAAGCGCTGAAGATTGTGGAGGAGGAGGTGAGGAAGAAAGCTGCAGCAGAAGAGCTGAAGATCGCGGAGGAGGAGGCGAGGAGGAAGGCTACTGTAGAAGCGCAGAAGGTCGCGGGCGAGGAGGCGAGGAAGAAAGCGGCAGCAGAAGCGCAGAAGGACGCGGACGAGGAGGCGAGGAAGAAAGCGGCAACAGAAGCGCAGAAGGTCGCGAACGAGGAGGCGAGGAAGAAAGCAGCAGCAGAAGCGCAGAGGACGTGGACGAGGAGGCGAGGAAGAAAGCGGCAGCAGAAGCGCAGAAGGTCGTGGATGAGGAGGCGAGGAAGAAAGCGGCGGCAGAAGCGCAGAAGGTTGAGGAGGAGGAGGCGAGGAAGAAAGTTGCGGCAGAAGAGCTGAAGATCGCGGAGGAGGAGGTGAGGAGGAAGGCTGCTTCAGAAGCGCAAAAGGTCGCGGACGAGGAGGCGAGAAAGAAAGCGGCAGCAGAAGCGCAGAAGGTTGCGGACAAGGAGGCGAGGAAGAAAGCGGTGGCAGAAGCGCAGAAGGTTGTGGAGGAGGAGGCGAGGAAGAAAGCTGCGGCAGAAGAGCTGAAGATCACGGAGGAGAAGGCAAGGAGGAAGGCTGCTTAAGAAGCGCAGAAGGTCGCGGACGAGGAGGCGATAAAGAAAGCGGCGGCAGAAGCGCAGAAGGTCGCCGACGATGAGGCGAGGAAGAAAGCGGCGGCAGAAGCGCAGAAGGTTGTGGAGGAGGAGGCGAGGAAGAAAGCTGCGGCAGAAGAGCTGAAGATCGCAGAGGAAGAGGCGAGGAGGAAGGCTGCTTCAGAAGCGCAGAAGGTTGCGGACGAGGAGGCAAGGAAGGTGGCTGAAGATGACGCGAGGAGATTGGATGACGAGGAGGCGCAGACGAGGGCGGACGAGGAGGCGTGTGAGAGGGAGGTTACTTGTGAGAGACGAAGTGAGGCAGAGGCGATGGAGGTGGAGGAGGTGACAGGGAGGATGGAGTCGGCTGGCGAGGATCACCAAAGACAACAGGAACGCAGAAGGAGTGCGGAGGATGCAGAGGACGAGGATGTGGATCCTGCGGTGCGGATGTTTTTGGGGGGAAATTTCGCACGTTCACCAGAACTTGTAGCTGAGAGGGCATGGAGAGTGACAGAAGATGGGGCGGCGAGGGTTGCAGTGGATCGTCATAGGCAAAGGCCGGACGATCGAGTGGATGATCTGCGTCGGAGGGTAGATCAGACAAATAGAATGCAGGAGGAGGAGCAAGATACTGTGTTTGAGGAGAGGGGACCTGTCTGTCAAAATGTCATAGTGCTTACATTTGTGTAGGCTATAGTGGGGTAGCCCATAAGGGGTACAACCCAATTAGGGTTAGTACTTGTACCCAACTTCTGCTCAATGCATTCATTCTTGTTCGTTAGTTTGACATGGTTTCAGAGCAGGTCCTTCGTTAGGATCGATTTTTTTTTTGGCACACCACAGTGCTGCCCCACTAGCCGCCCTGTTGGCTCACGCGCCGCCCCTCGCGACCCTCGTGCCACACCTGCTGCCCTGCGCGCCGCCCTCTTGCGGCCTGCACGACAACCCTAGGCCCCGGCCCGTCGCACGTCGCCCCTAGGCCCCGGCCCGTCGCCCATCGCCCCTAGGCCCATCGCCCCTAGCCCCGGCCCGTCGCCCGTCGCCCCTAGGCCCCGGCCCGTCGCCCGTCGCCCCTAGGCCCCGGCCCGTCGCCCCTAGGAACGGCCCGTCGCCCTTCGCCCCTAGGGCCCGGCCAGTCGTCCGTCGCCCCTCTGCCCCGGCCCGTCACCCGTCGCCCCTAGGCCCCGGCCCGTTGCCCGTCCCCCCTAGGATCCGGCCCTTCGCCCGTTGCCCGTCGCCCCTAGGATCCGGCCCGTCGCCCGTCGCCCCTAGGCCCCGGCCCGTCGCCCGTCGCCCCTAGGCCCGGCCCATCGCCCTTCGCCCCTAGGCCCCGGCTAGTCGCCCGTCGCCCCTCGGCCCCGGCCCGTCGCCCGTTGCCCCTAGGCCCCGGCCCGTCGCCCCTAGCCCCGGCCCGTCGCCCATCGCCCCTAGGCCCGGCCCGTCACCCCTAGGCCCCGGCCCGTCGCCCATCGCCCCCCCCCACCCGTCGCGCCTTGGCCCCGGCCCGCCCGTTGACCCCAGGCCCCGCGCGCCGCCCCTTGCGGCCCGCCCTTAGCCCCTGCAGCCCGCGAGCCTCCCTTGCAGCCCTGCGCGCCGCCCCTTGCGGCCCACCCGTCGACCCCAAGCCCAGAGTGCCCGTCGACCCTAGAAAACGGCCGCCCGACGACCCTAGGCCCTGCGCGCGGCCAGTGCTGCCCTGCTCGCCGCCCCTACCGCCCCGCGCGCCGCCCCTGCAGCCCTGCATTTCACCCCTGCCCGCGCGCAGCCCCTGCTGCCCTGCTTGTAGCCCCTGCAGCCCTGCGCGCCCCCCACCCCCCCCTTGCGGCCCCCTCTCTGCCCCTGCAGCCCTCTCGCCGCCCCTGCAGCCCCGCCCGCTGCCCCTAGCCCCCTAGCCGCCCCTTGCTGCCCGCTCGTAGCTTACCTGCGGCCAGCTCGCCGCCCTCTTGCGGCCCTGGTGCCTGCTAGCCGCCCTGCCTTCCCTCCGTGCTGCCCTACTAATCGCGCGCCTCCTAGCTTACCCGCGATGACTTCTCTTCGTCGTAGCAGTGGGAGTGGTGACAGCGGAGGTGGCAGCAGTGGGAGTGGTGGCGGCCGTACCAGCGGTCACTGTGGAGCTTTTCGGTGGGGAGTTTCTGGCGGTGGCCAGATGCAGTTGCAGCGGAGTCAGCGCGAGTCCCTTCCACCCCAGCAGCTACGTGAGTGGTACGCTCGGCGTGGGGCGTCTCGGAGTAGTGCTCGCTGCCTGTACGTTATTCGCACAGGCGCTTGGGCTGGTCAGACTTGCGGGACAGCTGGTCATACACAGTCCCGCTACTTCTCCTGTCTGAGCGACACCTAGCGTGCAGATTTTGGCGACGTGGCTTAGCTTCCCCGCTGGCTAGAGCTGCTTAGGCAGGGTGTGGATATCTTTGCTCTAGACTATGACACTATCCTCACTGCCATGTATGCTTTGCCTAGTGGTACTGAGGGTGACTCTTCCTTGTGTGTGTTGCCTGACTCAGGTATAGAGGCTGCTGCTCTTGGTGCTAGTGAGTCTACTCTCCCTGGTACTGCGCCTGCTGAGGACTTGCACACCTTTACACTTAACTCAGGTGCTTCACGCTGTTTCTTTCGCGACAGCACCACCCTCACTCCTCTCTCTGCACGTGTACCGGTCAGACTGGCTAACCCCTCTGGGGGCCCAGTTCTTGCCCGTTCCTCCACTGTTCTCCCGTGTCCGGCAGTTCTGTCTGGCTCACTGTCAAGTCTTCACCTCCCCCCGTTCTCTATGAACTTGGTGAGTACCGCTGCCCTCCAGGATGCGATGGTCACTACCACCACTCCTGGGGGTCAGCGTGTGTCGATCTGCACGTGTACACGGACGGGCCGTCACCTGGCCACGTTCACTCGTCGGCCTAGGTCGAATCTGTGCACACTGGCTACCGAGCCTCCTCAGGTAGCTGCGTCTGCCCAGGTGTCCGCGTCAGGTCCGATAGCACCCCCTTGCTCGTGTCGCCTCCTGTCGCACCAGACTCTCCTGTGGCACCACCGCCTTGGTCACCCCTCCCTGCCACGCCTTCGTGGTATGCACTCCCGCCTACTTGTCTCTGGTCTTCCCAGGTCTCTCCCCCCCCTCCCGCCCTCGCCTGCCCCGCCCTGCCTTCCTTGCGTCAAGGGGCGGAAGCGCGCCGCTCCTCACTCCTCCTCGTTTCCCCCGACGACTGCTCCATTGCAGACTCTCCACATGGACGTGTGGGGCCCAGCCCGCGTTAGTGGACAAGGCCGCGAGCGCTACTTTCTACTGGTTGTTGATGACTACACGCGTTACACCACGGTCTTCCCCTTGCGCAGCAAGGGTGAGGTCCCTGATGTCTTGATCCCTTGGATCCGCGCAGTCCGTCTCCAGCTTGATTCCTGTCCAGCGGCTGCACTCTGACAGAGGTGGTGAGTTCTCCTCCGACCTCTTGCGGGACTTTTGTCGTGGGGAGGGCGTTCTCCAGTCGTTCACGCTTGTGGACTCCCCTCAAAAAAATGGGATCGCAGCTCGTACCTCCATGATCCATGCGGCTGCTCCCCATTTTCTATGGCCGTTTGCGGTCCAGTATGTTGCGCATCAGCTCAACCTCTGGCCCCGTGTCTCCTTGCCAGAGACCTCGCCGACACTGCGTTGGACAGGGGAGGTTGGCGATGTGTCGGTATTTCGGGTCTAGGGCTCTCGTGCCTTTGTTCGCGATACGTCCGCGGACAAGCTCTCCGCTCGCGCTATGCCCTGCGTCTTCCTTGGCTTTCCCCCTGACGCGCCTGGCTGGCAGTTTTACCACCCCACCTCGCGCCGTGTCTTCCCCTCTCATGACGTCACGTTTGACAAGTCGGTTCCCTTTTACCGTCTCTTCCCCTACTGCTCTGCTCCTCTCCCACCCCCGCCGCTCTTCCTTGCTCCAGATCCCCCTCCGGTAGACCCCCTTCCCCCCCAGGGTCCTTCTCCGTCAGGTGTGTCTCAGGTAGACCCTCTCCCTAGTACTGTGCCTGTTGAGGTAGCTGTCGACTCAGGTGCTGCTCGAGGTGTTGCGTCTGGGGGTGCTGCGTCTGGGTGTGCGGAGCCTGGGGGTGCGGAACCTGGGGGTGCTGAGTCTGAGGGTGCCGGGTCTAGGGGTGCGGAGCCTGGGGGTGCTGAGCCTGCAGGTGTGGAGTCTGGGGGTGCGGAGCCTGCGGGTGTGGAGCCTGGGGGTGCTGAGTCTGGGGGTGCTGAGCCTCGGGGTCCTGCGGGTGCTTCGCCATGACAGTCTCCCCGGCTGGAGCCTCTCTCTCCGTAGCAGCTGCGCAAGTGGTTTGCTCAGCGCACACGTCTTCGGAGTGGAGCTGCCGGAGCTGGAGACTCTGCCGCTGGAGACACTGGAGCTGGAGGTGTTGGATTTACTCGTCTTGGAGGTGCTGGAGTTACTGCAGGAGCTGGTGGTCCCGGAGGTGCTGCAGCTGCTGGTCCTGGAGGTGCTCGTACCAGGGGTACTGGAGCTGCCAGTACTGGTAGTGTTGGGGGCGCAGGAGCTGGAGGAGCTGGAGCTGGAGACCCTGCGGAGCCTGGAGGTGCTGGGGTTAGAGGCGCTGGAGCTGGAGGCACTAGCGCTGGAGGAGCTGGAGCTTGAGACACTGGAGCTGTTGGCGCTGGCTCTGGAGGTACTGGCGCTGGTGGTGCTGGAGCTAGAGGTGCTAGAGCTGGAGACACTTGAGCTGTTAATGTGAGAATCGAGAATGGAATGGAAGAGAATGATTGCACTAGAAAGCAATTGAGTACATATAGAAAACCCTAACAGGGTTGTACTCACTATAGAGTACCCCACTGCAGACTAGAGAAACATGATATTCTGACACACCCCCATAGTCAAAGTGGGGTATGATCAGCACAACAAGCAAAGCAAAGCAAGCTCAGGGTGGATCACAATGTCACCACACATTCTGAGCACAAGTACAAGAAGTAACAGTTTAAAGTTCACAAATGTAAGCAAAGCTAGAGGCTATCACAGAGGGCAAGTGAGGAGGAGGAGGCTGGACTAATAGGAAAGGAGAGAGGAGGCAACGGCGGAAGCTGCAGACACACGGGCAACAGGAGCGGCGTGCACTGTGGCTACCGGAGGCGCACCTCCGGACTATAGGAGTAACTGGCTCCGCGGCTAAGACGAGCGACAGGAGCAACGGACCCACAGGCGACTGGCGCAGCGGCATCACTGGGCTACCGGAAGCGCACCTCCGGACTACTGGCACTGCTAGCAACACGACGGCTACCTCCACCCAACTCCTTCTACTGCCGCACCCCCCATTCACACACCCCCTGCTGCACCCCTAGGTTCACTCACACTCCACCCCCTAGTCCCACTCCTTTGGCTCCCACACATCCACCCCCCTCAGCGGCAGCTGCAGCAGTGGGAGACAGAGGAGGAGGAGGAGCAGGGGAGTCCACACTCCCGCCACCCCCTACTCGCCACCCCCAAACCCTAACACAGGGCAGGGTGGGTAGGGAGGTTACGGGGGGGGGGGGGGGGGGATTACGGGGGCCGACGTGCGGCCCCCCAGGTCGCCCCTCCCGTCGCCTTTCGTGGCGACCGGGGGGGGGGGGGGGGGGGGCGCGCGCGGCCCCCCCCCCAGGTCGCCACGAAAGGCGACGGGAAAGGGGGGGGGGGGGGGTGCGCGGGCCCCCGGTGCGCCGTGACAGGCATGAGGGGGGCGGGGCCGAGGCAGGGTCGGGGCATGGCCGCGACAGGGCCGCGACAGGGGGGGGGGCGCGACGGGGGGCCGCAACGGGGGGCCGCGACGGGGGGTCGCGACGGGGGCCTGCGACGGGGGGGGGGGGGGTCGCGACGGGGGGCCGCGACGGTGGGGCCGCGACGGGGGGCCGCGACGGTGGGCCGCGACGAGGGGCCGCGACAGGGCCGTTAAAGGGGCCGCGAAGGGCCGTAGGAGGGGCCGCGAAGGGCCTTACGAGGGGCCGCGAAGGGCCTTACGAGGGGCCGCGAAGGGCCTTACGAGGGGCCGCGAAGGGGCCTGACGAGGGGCCGCGAAGGGGCCTTACGGGGGGGCCGCGAAGGGTCTTACGAAGGGCCGCGAAGGGCCGTACGAGGGGCCGCGAAGGGCCTTACGAGGGGCCGCAAAGGGGCCTTACGAGGGGCCGCGAAGGGGCCTTACGAGGGGCCGCGAAGGGCCTTACGAGGGGCCGCGAAGGGGCCTTACGAGGGGCCGCGAAGGGCCTTACGAGGGGCCGCAAAGGGGCCTTACGAGGGGCCGCGAAGGGGCCGTTAGGGGCCGCGAAAGGGCCGTTACGAGACGCGAAGGGGCCGCGACGGGCCACAAAAGGCCTCGAAGGGCAGGCGCGACGCATGCCTCGGGCAGGTAAGGAAAAAAAAAGTTTAAAACGTGGTGGGCCCTTAGGAAGGATCGAAATAGCTCTATACCATGTGAGAATCGAGAATGGAATGGAAGAGAATGATTGCACTAGAAAGCAATTGAGTACATATAGAAAACCCTAACAGGGTTGTACTCACTATAGAGTACCCCACTGCAGACTAGAGAAACATGATATTCTGACAGTTAACCCTGGCGCTGGAGGTGCTGGAGCTGGGGGTGCTGTGTCTGGCGGTCCTGGTGCTGGAAGCACTGTGCGGCCGCGACCGTACTTCGTTCCCCTACTTCAGTAGGTTCTTGGTCTCCCGTTTTCTACTAGCCTTATTCCTCCCTTACTGTGTCCACCGCCTGACCCGTCGCAGCACCCGTTACACTCGGCCTCCCCACTGCCTGCTCCAGCTCCTTACACTGAGCAGACTGGAGGTCCTACAGAGCGTCGTGAGCCTGAGTTTTGTCCTGCCTCGCCTGTTCGCGCTATTCGCACTGGTCGTCGGGTTCCTCGTCCACGTCCTCCTCCAGTCCCCGGCACTCACACTATCGCACTTCGTCATTCCTCTGTTCCACTGCGTGTTCCTCTGCCGCCTCCTCCAGAGTCCTCTCTTCCTGCCTTCCCTGACCCTGAGTCTGAACTTTCTCTTGCTGCCAGTCCCGCTGTCTCTCGTCTCCTCGCCACTGCTGTCCCTGAGCCTTCTTTTGAGTCCACTGCTGCGTTTGCCCTTGTTGCTGAGACAGTTGACTTTGTTGCTGCCTGTCGTCTAGACTATGCCACTGCTCTTGTTGCTGAGTCTGAGTCTGCCAGTCCTCCGTCTGTCGGGAGTGAGTGTGCTCTTGGCACAGACGTTCTTGAGGACACGCAGGACGAATTTGAGTGTCTTGCAGCTGCTGTACCTCGTTTCGCTTCCATGCTGCTTGCCCCTGAGGGAGACCCGGATGCACCAGACAGCCATGGATGCCAAGATGGCATCCTGGAAGTCCACAGGCACCTTCGTCGACTCAGTTCCCCCTTCTCGGGCAAACATAGTCGATGGCATGTGGATTTTCAGGGTGAAGCGGCCACCAGGTTCTCCGCCTGCCTTCAAGGCGCGTTACGTTGCTAGAGGCTTCAGTCAGTGACACGGGGTCGACTACTTCCAGACCTTCTCCCCCACACCGAAGATGACTACTCTTCGGGTGTTGCTACACGTCGCTGCTCAGCGTGACTACGTGTTACACTCTCTGGACTTCAATACAGCTTTCTTGCAAGGCAGCCTGCACGAGGAGATCTGGCTGCGCCGCCCACTTGGCTTCACTGGGTCGTTTCCTGCAGGTACTCAGTGGAGCCTCCGGCGGCGAGTCTACGGTCTCCGCTAGGCGCCTTGCGAGTGGCACGACACACTGAGGACTACACTTGCGGCTCTGGGGTTTACTCCTACTGCTGACCCGTCGCTGTTTCTACACACCGACATGTCGCTGCCGCCGTTCTACGTCCTCGTGTACGTCGACGACCTCGTTTTTGCCATTGCTGACACTGAGGCACTGACCCTTGTGAAGTTGGAGCTACAGAAGAGACACACCTGCACTGACCTAGGTGAACTGCGCAGCTATCTTGGCTTGCAGATCACCCGGGACAGAGCACGGCGCACCATCACACTGACTCAGTCACACATGGTGCACCAGGTCCTTCAGCACTTCGGTTTCCAGTTCTCCTCGCCACAGCCCACTCCTCTGTCTATCGGCCACTCGCTCTCAGCTCCACTTTTGGACGAGTCCGTAGAGCCGAGTGGTCCGTACCCAGAGCTTGTGGGTTGCCTCATGTACCTGATGACGTGCACACGACCTGACCTCGCGTACCCTCTCAGCCTCCTTGCTCGCTACGTGGCTCCCGGTAGGCACCGAAAGGTGCAATGGGATGCTGCGAAGAGGGTACTGCGTTACTTGTGCAGTACGTCGGGCATGGGGCTCGTGCTTGGAGGACGGGTCCAGTTGTCCTCACTGGTCACGCAGACGCTTCTTGGGTTGACGACTCAGCTACGCTGCGGTCGTCACAGGGTTACACCTTCAGCCTCAGTTCCGGCTCTGTTTCCTGGCGGTCTACCCGCTCGTCTTCGGTTCTCAGCTCCAGTTGTAAGGCTGAGATCTACGCAGGGGCCATGGCTGCACAGGAGCTACGCTGGCTCATCTACCTGCTGGCTGACTTGGGAGAGCAGCCTCGTTCGCCTCCATTTCTGTACGTAGATAACAAGGCCATGATTGCCTTGTGTCAGGAGCACAGACTGGAGCACAGAACGAAGCACATTGCTCTGCGATACTTCCTTGCTCGAGAGTTGCAGCAGCGTGGCCAGCTTCGTCTTGCGTACGTGGCCACTAGAGCCAACACTGCTGATATATTCACCAAGGCACTTCCGCCTGGTGATCATCAGCGCTTCTCTACTGTGTTAGGCCTTGTGCCTACTTTGCCTCACTTGCTCACTTCGTGACTTTGCTTGTACTGTGATCTCTATATATACCTGCATGCTTACACGTGCTAGGGTATGATCAGTGTATTGTTTGTTCTCTTTTATATAACTCTGCATGTGAACTGGCCTTGTGGCCCTTTGCTTGTGCTCGGACTGTGTGGTGACTTTGTGATCCACCCTGAGCTTGCTTTGCTTTTCTTGACTGATGTTGTGACCTCTTGTTCTCCCCCACTTGCCTATGGGGGTGTGTCAAAATGTCATAGTGCTTACATTTGTGTAGGCTATAGTGGGGTAGCCCATAAGGGGTACAACCCAATTTGGGTTAGTACTTGTACCCAACTTCTGCTCAATGCATTCATTCTTGTTCGTTAGTTTGACACTGTCATGCCAACGTGGCTGCAAATAGAGTGGGCAGAGGCAGAGGCTGCAATGCGGCGAATGTTGAGGCGGACAACTACAGTGCTGGTCGAGGAGGGTGATGGTTTTGTTGAGGACGAGGGCTGGGATATAAGCCCAGCCGAGCTCACGCGTCGTCAGACACTTCTAGTGAGAATGATAACGTGGACATTCTATGACCTGACGTCCCGCAAGAGGACTGTAATTCGTGATGTCCGCAATCTAACCATCCATTACTGCCGCAACGCCCTCGCCAACTTGGCGGAGGTCCGCAATGCAAACGAGGAACGGCGGCGAGAGGCCCAAACGGCGCCGGAGTTTCGTGTGCAGATGGGCCAGAGTCTCTCTCGCTTGTAGGAGAGTATACAAAACGTGAGCGATCAAGTCCGTCTGTCAGGAGATTGGATGAAGGAGGGGATCTTAAGGGAGGTGGAAGAGAGAGTGCAGGCATGTATGCGAGAGGAGTTGGTACGCCAAAGGAGAGCGGCGCAAAAAACTTCATCTCTTGCCGATTCGCCCAACATGGACCACGCTGTTGTCAACAATGTGGTTGCTGCGTTGTTGGCTGGCAATGGTGGTGAGGAGGATGAGCCCATGTCGAGAAGAGATGCGGCACGGCTGGACCGGAGAAGGAAGCTTGGGGAGCAGCAGGGGAAGGAAGCAGAGGATGCCGATCGACTGCAGAAAGAGAGAGATCAGGAAAGGGAGCGGCGGCAGAAGGAGGAGGCGGCTGCAGAGGTGTAGAAGGTAGCGGATGAGGAGGCGGGAAAGAAGGCAGCTGCAAAGGCGCAGAAGATAGTGGAAGAGGAGGCGGCGAAGAAAGCGGCTGTAGAGGCACAGAAGATAGCGGATGAGGAGGCAGCAAAGAAGGCGGCTGCAAAGGCGCAGAAGATAGCAGATGAGGAGGCGGCAAAGAAGGCGGCTGCAGAGGCGCAGAAGATAGCGGATGAGGAGGCAAAGAAGAAGGCGGCTGTAGATGCACAAAAGATTGCAGCAGAGGAGGCGAAGAAGAAGGCAACTGCTGAGATGCAGAAGATTGCGGCAGAAGAGGCGAGGAAGAAGGAGGCTGCAAAGGCGCAGAAGAAAGCTGAGGAGGCAAAGAAGAAGGCCGCCGCAGAGGCGCAGAAGATAGGTGAGGAGGAGGCGAAGAAGAAGGCGCTGTAGAGGCACAGAAGATTGCAGCGGACGAGGCGAGGAAGAAAGTGGCTGCTGAGGCGCAGAAGATTACGGCAGAAGAGGCGAAGAAGAAGGAGGCTGCAAAGGCGCAGAAGATAGCTGAGGAGGCGAAGAGGAAGGCCGCCGCAGAAGCGCAGAAGTTAGCAGAGGAGGAGGCGAAGAAGAAGGCGATTGCTGAGGCGCAGAGGATAGCGGAGGAGGCGAAGAGGAAGGAAGCAGAGGAAGCTGAACGCGTGCGAGAGCAGCGGCGAGCAGAGAAGTTGGCCAGAATAGCGGCCTACGAGGAACAACAGAGGCTTCTGGAGGAGGAGGCAGAGCGTGATCGGGCGGAGGCGGAACGTAAAGAGTGTCTACGGCAGGCAATGGCCGAACAAAAGGAGCATTTGGCGCGGGAGATGGAAGAGGAAGAGGCGCCACGGTAGGGGGAGGGGACCGGGGAAACAAGGGAGGAGGAGGAAATTACAGAGGGCCTGGGGATGGTGCGGTTTGAAGAGAGGGAGGAAATGGATGGAGGAGATGCCGTGGCGATGGTTCTTGGACAGATCAGAGAGGGGTCCAGAAGGCGGCCCAGGGACCAGGTCAGCGCGTTGGAGGAGCATGCGTCAAAGCGACAGCGTGCAGCGGATATACAGGAGTTGATGCCGATCATCAAAGGGGAAGTAAAAGGGGTGAAGATGGATAAGTGTGAGAATGTGAGAAATGTGGCAGTAGACGCCAAGGGAAAGAGGTGGAATGTGAGTTTACCATTCAGGGGAAGCGGCTTCTCTCACAGAGGCGAGGGGCAACTGCTGAAGTGGACTTCAGAGCAAACCGTCGGCGGCCGGAAGAGGAACCTGGGGTCCCACAAACACGTGTGGGAGAGGAGCTATACCGTGGCAGTCTACTGGAAGATGTACTTCCCGAACATTAACATGGAGGCATATGGGATGAATCTGGCGCGTTTAGCCGCGTGGACCAAAGACCTCGAGTTCACAACTATGATTCCAACAGGGGTGTGGAGCGTCATCAACAAGCTCCACTTGGACAAACCGGAGGGGTGAGTGTGCTTTAGATGAAACGTTGCATATTCCTTAGGCACGACACATTCTTTGGTTCTGATCTACCTATATGATTGGCTTGTGCAGATTTTCCCTCGTGCAAACCAATACAGATGCGAGGCAAAAAAAGAATGATAACTTCTGGACATCTGTCTGCGCGGGTGTTGGAATAACATCATGGCAGAAGAACGTGGGAAGCGTCGAGGGTGACAACGGCTATTCTGCAGAAGAACACGCCGTTGGCCTAGCAGCCACACTAATAGTAATGTGGGATGCTAGCACGAATGTAGAGCGAAGCCAGTGGTAGTCGAGTGCATCATCTACTGCGCTCGCAACTTCTACTGCCATCGCAACTTCTGCAGGCCCCACGATTTCTGCTGCCCCTACATCTTTTGCTGACCCCGCACCATCTCATGTCCCCTCAACTGCCGCTGGCCCCGCACCTTCTGCTATCGCCGAGACTTCTGCCGACCCCGCTACTGCAGACTACGTTGTCCTTGCGTTGCTTGCTGCAACAGTTGCATGCGTCGCCGTTAGGGCGATGAAGTCGGTCGCTGACCAAGCGCACGACAAGGAAGCCTGGATTGCGCACCTTTCCGATGCGCTACTGAAAGAGCTTCCAGAAGAGTTGCGAGCGGGCGACTGCACGAAGCGGATGACGAGGGTGGTGGCGAAGGTGTTGACCTCTTGGTGCCTATGTTGCATGGTATCGAGTGGCCTTCGTGAACACCATGGCGCCAGCCTCAAGGCTCTGCAGAAGAAATTAGGCAGCCGGGACAATACAAGTGGAGCGGAGAAGGAGAAGAAGAGCAAGAAGACGTCGGCGAAGGGGAAGGAGACGAAAGCGGCGTCGAGAGAGGAGAACCCCATCATCGGCGGTCAGGAGTGATGGAGGTGGATGGGTTTTTTTGTGGTTTTCATTGCACTGTTTTAACATAGGTTGTTTAGTTTCTTTTTACCATGTAAATACATAAGGGATGTTGCTTAAAAACTTGCGAGATTTCAGAATATTCCGTAAAAAGGGTCGCGAATGTTCATACTTATTCGAACAGGTGGCAGAAATACTCACTAGGCAGAAATGGATCGTACGTCCATTTGGTGTAAAACGATCTCCACACGAACATGCAAAATCGCCACACATACATAGGGTCACAGAATACACAAATATGCTTAGGGCCGAAATGTTTTACAGAGCTATATTGTGTCGACATCAAAGTCCGCAGTGTTTTAACTCTACCTATGCTTAAGAAAGAACAAATTGCCTAAACCCACAAGCACCGTTTGGTGTTCGACAAGTAACCACAGAAAGCCCTCCTATGAATCATATTAAATGTCAAAATCCCAACAACTAAACCATTGGGATAAAATGGCTTGTTAAGTAGCGGGTCAGTGCGCCCATAACCCCCAGGACAACGTGCCTGTAACCCTTCCCTAGGATCAATCGGGGATCACCAGTGGACCTCTGACACCCCCCCGCACTAGGATGCCCGAAGTGCACACACTGGGATTCGAACCCGAGACCTTCGCTTTGATAACATGTCAGAACCCCAACCACTAGACCATTGGGATAAAAGGGCTTGTTAAGTAGCGGGTCAGTGCGCCCATAACCCCCAAGGACAACGAGCCTTTAACCCTACCCTAGGATCAATCGGGGATCACTAGTGGACCTCTCCCACCCCCCCGCACTGGGATGCCCGGAGTGCACACACTGGGATTCGAACCCGAGACCTTCGCTCTGATAACATGCCAGAATCCCAACCATTAGACCATTGGGATAAAAGGGCTTGTTAATAGCGGGTCAGTGCGCCCATAACCCCCCAGGACAACGAGCCTGTAACCCTTCCCTAGGATCAATCGGGGATCACCAATGGACCTCTGACATTAAAGTCATCTACCATCTCTTCACGATCAATCGTCTACGAAACGAAACGGCAGAAAACTCATCGGCTGCATAAGATCGATGTTATCGACGCCATCACTTAGCGCCACGTTATCGCCTAAAATCGAACCTCTACAATGTTGTATGTGTCAGAATCGTGAAGGAAGGAATGACTGAACTAGCAAGCAGGTGGGTACAAGTAGGAAACCTAAAAGTGTTGTACACTATATGAACTACCCCACTACAGCCTAGACAGACTATAGCATATATGTTTGACACACCCCCATAGGCAAAGAGGGGGAGAACAAGAGGTCACAAAACCAGTCAAGAAAGGCAAAGCAAGCTCAGGGTGGATCACGACGTCACCACGCATTCTGAGCACAAGCAAATGACCACAAGGCCAGATCACATGCAGCGTTATATAAAGGAGAACAAGCAATACAGTGAACACAACCTAGCAAGTGTAAGCATGCAGGTATATGTATAGAGATCACAGTACAAGCAGAGTCAAGAAGTAAGCAAGTGAGGCACAGTAGGTACAAGGCCTAGAACAGTACAGAAACGCTGATGATCACAAGGCGGAAGTGCCTTGGTGAAAACATCAGCAGTGTTGGCCCGAGTGGCCACGTAAGCAAGACGAAGCTGACCACGCTGCTGCAACTCTCGAGCAAGGAAGTAGCGCAAAGCAATGTGCTTCGTTCTGTGCTCCAGTCTGTGCTCCTGACACAAGGCAATCATGGCCATGTTGTCGACGTACAGCACTGGAGGAGAACGAGGCGGCTCTCCCAAGTCGGTCAGCAGGTAGGTGAGCCAGCGTAACTCCTGTGCAGCCATGGCCCCTGCGTAGATCTCAGCCTCACAACTGGAGCTGAGAACAGAAGACGATCGGGTAGACCGCCAAGAGACAGAGCCGGAGCCAAGGCTCAAGGTGTAACCCTGTGACGACCGCTGCGTAGCCAAGTCGTCAACCCAAGAAGCGTCTGCTTGACCAGTGAGAACAACTCGAGCCCATCCTCCAAGCACGAGCCCCATGCCCGAAGTACTGCACAAGTAGCGCAACACCCTCTTAGCGGCCTCCCAGTGATGTGGTCGGTGTCTCTCGGGCGCAACGTAGCGTGCCAGGATGCTAAGAGGGTAGGCAAGGTCAGGTCGAATGCAGGTCATCAAGTACATGAGGCAGCCCACAAGCTCTGGATACGGGCCACTCGGCTCTACGGAATCGTCCGAAGGTGGAGCTGAGAGCGAGTGACCAGTAGGCAGAGGAGTGGACTGTGGCGAGGAGTACGTGAAGCCGAAGCGCTGAAGGACCTGCTGCACCATGTGTGACTGAGTCAAGGTAATGGTGCGCTGTGCTCTGTCCCGGGTGATCTGCAAGCCAAGATAGCTTGTCAGCTCACCCAAGTCTGTGCACGTGTGTCTCTTCTGCAGCTCCGACTTCACGTGGGCGAGTGCCTCAGTGTCAGCAGTAGCAAAGACTAAGTCGTCTACGTACACGAGAACGTAGAACGGCGGCAGAGTGTTGTCGGTGCGTAGAAACAGCGACGGGTCAGCAGTGGAAGGAGCAAACCGAAGAGCAGCAAGAGTCGTCCTCAGTGTGTCGTGCCACTCACGGGGTGCCTGGCGGAGACCGTAGATTGGCCGCCGGAGGCTCCACTGGGTACCAGCAGGAAACGGCCCAGTGAAGCCAGGTGGGCGGCGCAGCCAGATCTCCTCGTGCAGGCTGCCCTGTAGGAAGGCTGTGCTGAAGTCAAGAGAGTGTAGCCCGTAGTCACGCTGAGCGGCGACGTGCAGCAGTACCCGAAGAGTGGTCATCTTCGAGGTAGGGGAGAAGGTCTGGAAGAAGTCAACTCCCTGTCGGTGTCTGAAGCCACGTGCAACGTAACGCGCCTTGAAGACAGGCGGAGAACCCGGCGGCCGCTTCTCCCTGAAAATCCACATGCCAATGACGATGTTCGCCCCAGGCGGGGGAACCTCGTCGATGTAGGTGCCTGTGGACTTCCAGGAAGTCATCTCTGTGTCCATGGCTGTCTACCACTGAGAGGAGTAGGGACCCTCTATTATCGCCTCTGCGTAAGAGCGCGGGGTCGGGATGTCTGGTGCATCCGGGTCTCCCTCAGGGGCAAGCAGCATGGACACGAGATGAGGTAAAGTAGCGGCAAAGCACTCAAACTCCTCTTGTCTGTCCTCAAGGACGTCCGTGCCAAGAGCACACTCACCCCCGACGGACGGAGGACAGACAGACGCAGACTCAGACTCAGCAACAAGACTAGTGGCGTAGTCTAGACGACAGGCGGCAGCAAAGTCAACAAGCTCAGCAACTAGAGCAGACGTAGCAGTGGACTCAAACGAAGGGTCAGTGACAACAGTGGACAGAAAACGCGTGGCAGTAGGACTAGCAGCACGAAGGGAGTCAGACTCCGGGTCCGGACCGTCAAGAAGAGAGGACGCAGGAGGAGACAGCAGAAGGACACGCTGTGGAGCAGTGGAAGGATGCAGAGTCATAGAG